CTCGATAAGGTATATCGTTCCCTTATACTGATATCTTCCGAACCATCCATTTATCCTATGTGACAAATTGCCTGCTGGCCCGCCACATTTCGACTCCGAGGACGAATGGCCGCTTCTGTTGAATCAAATTAAATCCTGGGTTACACACGAAATGCTTCGACAGTACATCTGGATTCAAAATTTCAAGAGCCAATAGATTTCGAGCCCTCTCTGACATGGGGGTCCGTCGCTGTGGCAAGTAAAATTATTACATATGGGAATGAATGGTCAGATTCAAAAGGTAATTGTGGTGTTTAATGACCCCTTTCCATTTAGTGAAGATTATCTTGCTGTCCAACGAATATTATGCCCCAGTATTATTTTGTATTGCCCCCTCCACGGTTATCAGGGCCATTTGTGGTGCTGAATTAACAATAAGTAATCAATATCAATATATCACTGTCTTTCAACTTTCATTATCTGCCTGGAATTTTAATAGAGCATACCCATGCTTACTAACATAAGCTGCTTACATAATTTAGGGTTTACTAACCCTAGGGGCTCGCAAAACCCAGCCCGAACTGACCTGTTTTCACTATTAGATCCCCATGGCAGAAAAAGGTATGATTCTGCTTTAGAATGCTTATTTTGCTTTAGTAATATTTTACTAGCTCATTGTCACCTATGGTGATATTGTTTGTATAGACTCCACCCACAATACCTGTAAGGGGGTTGACAAGGAGAAGGTCTTTCTTAACACAGTTCTTACCCAAGACCGCCTGAGTGGAAAAGGTGTTCCGCTTGCTTTTATGTTAACCAACACGGTATCACAGTATGTCATAATTTTTTATTGCTTTGATATTTTCATGAAGCTCAATTATCATACACAGTTGTCCGTTGGAGCACTTTCTGAAGTGGTTGCGCAACCTTGAAGACTGCGAATTCCAACCGCAAACGGTTACGATTGATTGCTCTGACACCGAAGCACTGGGCATCAATAAGAGCTTCACCGATCGCGTTATCAGCATTATATATTGTTATTGACATTTATGGCAAGCCTGGGAGAAGAATATAAACGCAAAGGTGCGCTTAATCTATTTCTTAATCTGTTTATATATGCTGAGAATTGGTGCCCATATAGATTGTGTTCAAAGGTGTTCACGGCAAGGAAGAGCGCGCCGAACTCGTCAAAGATGTTCGGGATGCATTGGGGACCTTACTCAGGGCGAGCTCCTCACAGGTGTTTCAAGAACAATGGGAGTTTATTCAAGCTGAGTATGCTGACCAACCGGCATGGCTCAAGTACATGCAAGATGAATACATCAAACACAAGGAACGGTGGGCTCGTGCCTGGCGTTTAGTGAGTCTTATATTCGCTTATTTCATGTTCAATATTGAAATCCTAATAGCAAGTTCATTACGGCATTGATACCAATAACTACATTGAAAGCTGGCACTCGAACCTCAAGGCAAACTATCTAGGCCGAGGTCGTAAGCACCGATTGGATTACATGATCCGAATTTTGACGCAAGACGTCGAGCCGGATTTCATGTATGCACATGTACGGTGTGGTCTTGGCTTTCAAGGTCGTCACCTTTGCAAAGCTGAGAGAATTGCAAAGGAGCGCGCAAGCACCTTAATGTACGAAGAGGCACAGATACATGTTGAACAATTGGAGCGTCAAAAGGTATATTTCTTTATTTTTCTTTGTATACATCCATCTGATGCTCTTCACTTTAGCTAAAAATTGAATCCTTCTCTGTGGACAGCACCTTCTATTTGGTATCACTTGAACAGCAAGAGATAGCCTCATGCTCGTGCTCTGAATATGCCGGATCGGCACTGATCTGCAAGCACATGTTCCTGGCCCAACGTGTTACCAACTACACCATCTCGCAACCTCATGTAATTATTCCTGCACGGAGGAGTCATGAGCCTGAGGAAGAGGAAACCTTTGAAAGTCAACGGGCCAGTAAAGTCAGAATTGTTGAGAAAATTGAAGAAAGCATGGCTTTATCAGCAGGATGGAGATATTGGCGTCGTGTAAAACATACACAAGGGCTGGACATTGTATCTTGCGATACATTAACACGCATACTGTCTGCGTCGCATACTTACCATCACTTACTTCAAGAGGGGTTAATGGCATTCCAGAGTATGCCACACAATGGTAGAGTAGTTAAATACAATTTTCTATTCTTATTTTTCCTATCCCATGAAAGTATCCCACGATTTCTATTTTATTTTTATGATTTTATTTCATTTTAGTTTGACTTTGCACTTGTGGTCAAACGCTCCGGCGAATTCTCTCGACGCGTGGGAAAGCTGATGTAATTAGCACCCGCCGCATTTTGGGTCTTTAAGGTCGCCCGGTTCGACTGGTAATCATTGAAGCAGTTACTCGACGTTGGTGCTCGGTGAGGGTTCACGAGACCTGTAGTTGTGTAGTCGGGCCAGGTTATGGGGGTATGAATCAAAAAATGGCATGATTACCAAAGCTACGCTTTGGTTCCTTAAATTTTGTTTGTTTGTATTTGTTTGTTTGGTTACTCAGGGTAGGGGGGGGGGCGAGTTGCGTTTTCCTGACATTGTGGGTCCTTGTGGTGATCTTTCCTTAATAGATCATGCAACGTGTTTCTACGTCACCATTTCATCATCTCGTGTTCGTGCTCGTCGTTAGATTCGAAAATGAAACTTAACAGCCTGCTTATAAGCCATCATTGTCTTCCTAGACGCTACTGCAGGCGACAAGCTGCGGTGCACAATTCAGAGCGGGCTTTCGTGTTCGCTACTGTAATTATAAGTTGGTTTATTATCTTTTCAAATTCTTATACTCATTTCTATGGCGTTATTTCTTCTCCATTACCATCTGGCCATCATTTCCAAGCAAAGCTTCTTATCCTCGTGTATCTATGTTATATCACCGGCATCGCCGTCAACACTGTACCACACAATCAGTAATCTACGGTAATCTATTGTTAATTAAAAAGTATTACCATCCCAGTGTATTCCCCTCGACATCCATGTTATCCACCTTATTCCTCTTCCCAATAGACGCCGCTTCATATGTAAATCCGCGCTTTCGCAGCCCCGATTCCATCTTGATGACTTGTGAATTCACAAACTCAGCTCAAATAAAATGATAGCAACAAATAATCATACCGTCACACAGCCATCGTCGAGAAATGTTATGCCTTCAAGATGGATAACAAATTTAAACCGGCCTTTCGTGGTTGGAACTCCGAGGAATGAACATCGAATGTCGACAATGTTTCCTTTATGGAATTGGTCAGGCTTAATTGTGGGAGATTCAATGAGACTGCGGTATGTATACGAGTGACGATCCTATCCAACATTAACTAGGAACTTACACTTCGTCTCCCTCCTCTCGCTTAGAAATCTGCTGATACTGTACTACGTTCTCCGTAGTGAAACGTAAGTACACGATCATTTCGTTTCAGGTGCTCAGCCAACACACCAAAATGATCCAGATTTGGAGGAATATCAACGTCAGCAGCAGAATATCGCTGCTTGCTAAAGTACCGAGTGCTGAAGCCCAAAGCCCTGATAGTGTCCATGGCCGGCAGTTCAAATGACAAAAAAGTGTCTCCCCGGAACTGACTAGCAAATAAGTGAAAATCATAGCAATCACGTCACAGGCAGCCGAAAATGCTCTGGCCCCCCTTGCTGTTACTGTCACACTCTGCGAGTAAGATAGAGCGTTATTCCAAAAGCAGTGACACTACATTAGCATGCGCATATTAGGATCGGAAATCAAGAAAGGAAACACCGAAAACCTCTTCGTAAGGGTGGCAAGTCATGCTTCAAGATCACCCCTTGCAAGGCGAAAATTGCCTCATCCCTCATCTCTTGTCCCCTTGTACTGGGCAAGTTGTACATGAGCCGAATGATGCCAGAATGGTCAGTGAATACTTCAAAGATGTCCTTCAATGCATTAACAGTTGAATGTTTCACTAGTTGAATATCTGTAAACATCAGTTTCTGCATAAATTCATGAATGGACAACAACTTTGCTTCTAAAACATAGACTGTAAGCACAATTTCTGCCCTAAAGTTAATATAACAGACTCACTAAAGTCCTCCCTATTTAAAATAGATGACAGTTCGCATTCGATCATTATTGCTATTTGCATAAATTACGAGACCAATACGAAAAAAAAAATGAGGAAATCCGAGAGTCTGTGCCTAGCCAACTAGGGACAGCAAATCATGGTGCTGCGTCAATGCCGGTCGCGCCGAGACATCACGTAGTTGCCACCTCTTCATCTGCATCCCTTCTTTTCTTATTTTTACAGTCGTCTCGTCATTTATGAAAATAGCAATAACAATCCCGTGAGAGAGTGAGAGAATAAATATAATGCAGAGAAAAAATCACCTATTGGAATATCGGTATTCAGCTACACAATAATATCACTTGGCTTGCAATTTCGCCTTCAATCCCTCAGAGAGCCTGAATTAATCAATATTAGTTCATGATAGACACACCTGAATATTCCTTCATCTTCCCCTAGGGTTGATATGTGTGAACAAGATTATCTACCTCTACCTATCCACAGATATTGTTATCTAACCCAGAGTGGTCCTGTCGCAAAACTCCAAAACGCCCGACCCGGGATGATCAGGCTGTATCAGGCCGTCAGATCAGGCCGACTTGATCAGACTGATCAGATTCAAAGCTCCTATCAGACTGATCAGGTCGGTCAGGCTGGTCAGGCTCGGTCAGGCTCGGTCAGACTGATCAGGGTATAGGTTCAAAAATTCAAAAAAATTATTTTCTTTTTCTTACTATTCCCTATTCATACTTATTTACTTACTACTGAGTTGTATTTACACTTCGAACATCATTGAGTATTTGATATATCTTATTAGGAGTACTAAGTTCTAAGTGAAACCATAAGTTGTATTCATTTCAAGGAAAGGTATAATTTTCTATTCAAGTCAATTATTAGATATACTTTAATTAAGAATCAAGAAGATTACTTACTTTAGTTTAACAATGAGCAGCAGCGGGATTCGAACCCGCGACCTGTTTGCCTCTGAGCGCCAAAAGGATCAAGCTGTAACCATTAGGCCACAGATGCTTGTAGCAAGA